TGGCCGACCGTAGTGTCGATCCATTCTACCAGCGCCTCCCCACTGATACTGGAAGCAAAAAAACGCAGTTTGGGTCAAAAATATTGCGCTGGCTTCGCCAAATAAATCTTCAGAAATAGCAAGGACACTTCTTCGGCATTTTGGTGCAGGTATCATGTGTCTGAAAACAAAAATGGCGTGTCACTCACGCAAGGACCACCGCCGGGACCCGACTGTTGTTGTTGTTGCTTCTGAATGAGACTACGCTCTTCTTCCACCTTGTGGTAATAATAATCGCAGAATTCACCACCGTAGAGAAAAGAAAATTTTGGATTGTCGCGTTGTTTCTCCTTTGTCATTGACTCAAATTCTGGGCCATTTCGGGCGACAAACTGGGCAAGCTTATCTATGATGTTGCGAGTCTCAGCGTCGGGCGGCGGCAGAGCGGAATAACGAGACATCGTCTAGAAAATGGTGAAGTTGAAATAAAGTATATCAATACATAGCCGGGTATAAACAATAAACTGCAAATAAATTTACCAGACTTTTTATGTGCATCTGGGCATTGTCGACAGGAGACTGAAATGACTATTTCTGATTTATTAGTCGCCATCAGCCAGCCATAGCCAACTGCAGCTCGAACCCGTGACCTGTGGAGTAGAAGTCCAACGCAGCTCTCAAGAGTAGTGGCTGTCAAATTGAAGAAGTCGACAGTTTCAAGTACCACGGAGTGAGGTTACTGTCGAATGGACAGAGTAAAGATGACATTGTCTCCCGAATTGACGCAGCACGACGAATATTTTCTAGCCTTTGGAAGTGCTTATGGACCCGACACGATATTTCTATCTCAATAAACATCCGCCTGTATCGTGCATCTATGCGGTCCGTTCTCCTATACGGATGCGAATGTTGGGCTATGCGCGTGGAGGATGAACAGAAACTGGAAGTCTTTGACCCCTACGGTCTGAGGAACATTCTTCGAGTGAAGTTCACCGACTTCTTCTCAAATGAGACAATTCGCACTCGCTGTGAAAAAAATCACAAGGGTATCCCAGGCCATTCAGGAAAGACGGCTGAGGTGGTTTGGACGCATTCTTCGTCGCCAACCTCAGTGCTACTGCCCTCGATTTGAAATTGTTCCCTAATTGGAAACGTCGAAGAGGGGGTCAACTCAAAACCTGGCTCGACTCAGTACGTCAGGACATGGAAGTGGTTCTTGAACCTTCGGTATTCGGTTTCCGGAGCTGGCAAAGAGAATGGGTCGAACTATTCAGGGCTGCGGCCACGGATCGTCGCACGTGGAGAAGCACCATACGGGACATAATTGAGGCCGGCTAGATCAGTCATGATCGCAGCTGTAACAAGTACAAGTCTGACTACTGAGCCAAGGGATCGTTGTCTTACCGGTTTGTATTGGGAATACTGACATTCGTTTATGAACCCTCGACGATCGCAAACGGAACTCCCTCGCCCCGTTCTGCCTTGGCGAGCCCTGGCAGCCGTTGCACAGCGGCTAGTAGTCTAGGCAGATGAACACTGCTGGGACGAATGCGTCCCGTAACTGATCGGTGAGCGCCAGTATTATTCGGTTAAGGGGAAATTCCGTAAGCAGACGTCGTTACGGCACTAAATTAAACGACACTTAGCTGCTGCAGTCTCGCGATTTTTCCAAAAAATCAACGCAGTTGAAACTTGCAGGAAACAAGTGAATTAAGTCACAAGCGAAGCCAAGTAAACTGGATAAGTAATAAGGAGCATTCGAAGTCAATACACTCATTAGAACTAAAATCAGTGCACTGCTGTTACTTTCGATTCAATGTAGGGACGAGCATGAATGAAAATTTCCAGAATTTTTAAAATTATATTGGTGCGAAAACTAGACGATTGCCCAGATACACTGGTGGTACAAGCCTGTCTCTAGATATTTGAGATGTAGACCGACGTTAAAAAAATGGATTGCGAGATTGTGAGAAAGTGGTAAAAGGGTTAGGTGCAAAGCGTCCGGTCCTAGAATCTAGGCAGATTTTAAAATCACCCTGGTGGTAAGCTGCAGCTTACGTATTCGGTAGATTACGTGGAAAGTCTAATTGGAATGTTCAGCAAATGTAGAGGCGGTCTCCTCCTCGTTCTACGTACAGATCCCAGTGACATCGCTGGGCAGTTATATACTGATCGTTTTCCCTGTGTATATGTATGCAGCCGGCAAAAAATAGTCTTCGCAGGTACTTTAATTTGTGGCTAGCACGATTATTTGAATACCAGAGAAAGTAGGCTTATGCAGCAAAGCATTTTACTCAAATTTATGAAGGTGGTTAATGCCATCGGAATGTACAATGAGGGCTGTAAGTGAAGGTGGGTTCCTTTATGTGATCTGTGAATTTCAAGCGATTAACAAAACTAAGTATGTTTGTCCCGTTGATTTGCTACAAAAACAATATGTGTTATGGTTTAGATTTAGATTAAAATCTGGCTTAGCGTTAAAGAACATAGTTGCAAAAATCCTAAAGATCAGGAATTTTTTGCGGAATGTATTTTTATACGACTGGTACTCCCACGTCGATGCTTGCCATACATACAGTAGATTTTATATCTGATAAAATGTGAAGATAGAAATTTGAGTGGGTGATTTAACACAAATTTGAGGTTGTTTTTTGTTCATTGAGTTGACTTGAGGTGCAAAATGCTGTTTAGTAGCAGAGTTCGGTTCAGATTAGTATACTGTAGGCAGAAAGGGGCCAAGTGGGGCCAAATCCAACGTTTATTGATATTCAAGGAATTCTCTACGTAATTAAACGCTGCGGAGAAAACTCCTTGTTTTTGCGTGTTGAAAAGCGGAAAAGCTTCAATTATATATGTTCAGAGAACAGACAATTTTGTTTTGCGTTCATGAAATTGAGGTTAGTGTAATTATAAGACAGCGCATTATTTTGGGAAAAGAAGGGTGAAATAAGTTAAGAAATTTTTCTTTTGCAAATCTGCCGAGTTTTGTGCCATACAATTGATTAATAAGCTTATAAGGCTGTTATTTGCTATACCCCACCGAAAATAACGACCGTGAACAAGCATACATACAAACACCCAGGATATGCCGTCAACTTTCTCTGTGAAGCTGTATGCAAAATATGTCCAAATATTTTTTATCAATAGAGCATAATCAATGAATAGAAAAAATTGAAACAGAACGGGCAGAAGATTATTAGTTTTCTCAAAATAGTCGTTTATATTCTGCCCCTCGGCTTTGCTTTTTGTTATCTTAGAACTGAGCCTAGAACTAAACAAACATACTGAAAACTGCTCCGAGTCACATAGAAAGGTTAGCTCTCTCAGTTACAACAGTAGATGTGTCCTTGGTTTTTAGGGAGTCAAAAAACTGGTCGAAATTTCTCCTTCTGATCTTGACTAAATCATCAAAAAGGTAACTCGTTATAGAATTTTTTTATCAATCTTAGGCATATTCATTCGCGACTTTTGTTGTGGACGCTCATTCTTCTCGGCAATGAGTTGACATACTTGGGTGATTCTGAAACCATGACTCAAAGAGACAGGTCATAAGAATGTTTAAAAGCTCGTTATTTAGGTAAATGCTTTCAAGAAATATCTTATTTTGAAAGTTTTGGTAAGCACATAGAATATAATCATTATTTATGGTCAATCGACTGAAGCCAGTGAGAATCGTAGTGTTAATTACAATTCCAAGAAAGATCTGAATCTCTTCGTAATCGAAATCTCAAAATAATTACAAAGGAATGAGGCGGAAGGAGATTTCTCTTAGTGTACAAAAAATGGTACGTTAACAATTGCACCTGGCAATTCCATTTACATTTATAAGTCACTGAACGGCATCTTACTCCTATGACTCCCCGATGAACAAAATCAAGCGAAAATGTGGTCGCCGAAGTCCAACATAACTCAAGCGATGCATAAACGGAAGAAACACCTAGCAATTCTCGTTAAAACGTGTTGGAATACATACTCGAAATTTGGGCTGTTCGGGAACAGCCATACATTACATTGCAAGTAATATGGAAGCATATGTATCCGAAAATTAAAAAAAAGATTATTTTCCAACGTAATTATACTTTTGCTGCATTATTCACTCGGTGGTTTTGCATGAACGGTCTTCCTTTACATGTAAAACTTCAGTTTACCTAGTGCGCCCGATTTGCACTTTTTCGGAATTTTCCACTTAGCTAAAAAAATCTGATATTTCTGAAAAACCTTATATTCCTTCATAGGTCTCAATATGCCCTATTGTGAAGAACGACAATTACTTTACTGCTGTAAGACTTTCGTGGCCACAGCTTGGGCTGCGTTTGAGTAACAGGAAGTTACTTTGAAAAATCCTTGGATTTCATGAGTTAGACCCCCTACCGTATGTCAAGCCCAGTTACTCACCTATGATATCGCGACACGTACCCCTAAAACATTTTTCCAAAGGCCATTAATTCAGACTTTTTAGTTGTATATCTCTCTTGTTTCACGCACCGATTTGCATACCTAACCCTAACGTTCATTCAAAATTATCTACAAGTATCCACTTCCCAGTTCGCCTCCTATTGGTTCCCATGGGCAAAGAATGCCCGGGCTCTGTTAACTGATTTCTAAGGACACGGACATTCGCAGCACACAACATAGAGGGTCCTGTCTAGCAACTTAATAGCAAGTGATAGTCGGGATATTCTTGGCAAGTTGCCAGTGCTTGCGTTCGAAGACGTGACATCGATGCGGCATGAACACGTGTACGCATAAAAATTGAGTCACAAATGACATCGAGCATTTCAGTCAT